GACTAAAGCCTGGGAAAAATGCTGAAAATGTTCGTCCCTTAAAAGTCTGAAATAATGTTCGGTTCAGAACGCAACTAATTTTGCTCAGTCAGATTCAACCTCTAACACTAAACATCTGATTCAACACAAACCAATATATTCTGGTTTTAGTGGCCCCATCTTGGTGTGTGACTGATTCTTGTCACAGTTATCTAGCCACCAGTCTATTACACCTGAAATTCTACTTAACATGTAGCAAAACATAAGCACAAGGGCATCAGGCAGAGCCCACACTAAGCAGAGGTGTTCTAGTAGCAGTGGTTTATTTACCCCTGCCATGTAACTTTAACAGTCTTTCTGTGTGGATTCTGGCAACCACTGACTTCCATTGTCCCCCAAATTGTCTAACAACATTTTCAAATGCTTTTCAGTTTTAGCAGATAATAAAACATAATACCACTATCATTGCCTGTCCTCTCTGATGCTCTCCTCAAAAACTAACTCCCCAAACTCATAAACTGCTTTCCTAATAAAACCCTATTTCTATGAGAACACAGCTCCCTCAGTCTGAAGGACCCAGACTCCTGCCCCTAGTGAGTTTTCAAAATCCTGTGGGGTAAGGATTTCTGATCCGTTTCTCTGCAAAATGCAGACATTAAAAATAAATGATGGGTGTGGATGTGCTGCCCTCCCAGCCCTCTCCCCACCGCATGCACTTCCACCCCCAGCTTCTTTGCTGGTTTTCATGCAGATTTGTGCCAGACATTCGGCATCCTCATTAAGTGGTGTCTGGCAACCTGCCTAAGTTTTAGTGGGTTCTGGGAATGCCAGTATATTAACCAGAGGACTTTTTGCATACCCTAGAGAGATTTTATTCCAGAAAAGTCAACCATTTGGCACAAAGAAAACTTACTTCAAATCTAGAAAAGCTCTCCATTGGCAATAAGAAGAAAAAAAATGCATTTAGATTCTTCTTAATTTCTGTCCCCTACCTGAAAGAAAAGTCTGATGTAGAGCAAGACCACTCAAACACAGTTTGAAAGGTCAGTGTTGTCTGTAGTAGGATTTTAAAGAAAAGAACAGCAGATATGAAAAACACAGACACAGTACAACATCAAGAAAATTATTCATTTTCAGTCCCTTGTCTCTTGTGACCAAAATAATCTTAATCAGGAAGATTAAATTTACCCATTATTATGCTGAGTGATAATGAATGATGATACAGGTGCTCGAAAATTTCCACTGCTTAACTAAACAATGAGAAAAAGCATTTAGTAAAATGCATCTACATTTAGCATATCCCAAATATGCTAAATCAAGGCATACGCTACTGAAACGCATATATTAAATAAATATAGATGACGAATACAGAGACATTTTGCCAGCATGAAATACAGAACACACTGTAATGTTGTGCTCACTCTTATTCACCTGCAAGCATTCTTTCTACTGCTGTCCCCTTACAGTAACTATTATTCAACTGATTGTCTCAGAAATAAGCAAATAAAACTTCTCTGTAAAGCAAAGAAGTCAAACTTATTTTTCAAATACGCAGTTCAGAAGAACACAATGGGAAAAAATAAAGGTCCACAGCTTTCCTTCACTGGAATATTCTGCCCATGCAGCACATAGAGAAATTTAAAGTACACCAGACAAATGTGTCATTTTGAGGCTGTTTCTGCAGGCTTCTACACCCAGAGAATCCGATCCTCTTCAAGAAGTTATTCAGGTAATCTGCTACCATACAGATATCACTATCCATTGTTACCATAAATTGCTTCAAACTGACATTTACTTCAAACTCATCATCTTTTTGTTTGTGCAAAAAATTGCTGACTTCCTGATACCAGCTCCAAAACACCACGATCCTTTTATAATGACCAATTAGCATTAGAGATCCAGCAAGAATCAATTAAAATCAATTCCATTTAAATGTTTTAGTGTACTAAGATTATGTTTGGTGTGAAAGAAATTTTTAGCTATCTAGGCTGCCTTTGCTTAGATATCAACCTTCTGGGCAAGACGGCTATTCTTAAAAATAGCTGTCAACTGAGAAAAGGAAATGTATATGTATGAATCATTTCACTACAGGGTTGGATTCCCAGCAACTGATGCACCACTGTTCTGGCATCAGTGCCTTTAACGAGCAGCTGATACTAGCTTGGTGCCATTGAAGAATTTCACGGTTACCACAGAACCAATCTGCAGAAAAATTCATCTCCAAACTCCTAGAAGTATCTGCATTCCGTAACTGGCAATTCACTTGCAGGGAGCTGTTTTGAACCATCAGAAACCAGACAGAAAAAAAAAACTTTTCCAAGACCACTCGCAAGTTGAATGCAACAACCTTGACTCCTGATGCAAGAGCTGTTGGGCAGACGTGCACTTTTTAACACTTCATTTCTCTTAGAGATTATATTAAATGACTTTTAAGGTACTTCTCTATTATTTCAATAATCATTCACTTCTCTCTGGCACATCGTATCCTGAAAATATTCCAAATTATTTCAGATGGTGTCACTTGACATGTAACTATTTCTTATTAGAAGGGCAGCAGCCACTAGACAGAGTACTGCAGGGCAGATATGAAAAAGAGAACTTTTGGACAAGAAAAAGAAATTTTGGTCAAGAATATCAGAAAACTTCCCTTCCCCTCCTCCCTTCCCACCCCACAAAAGTGCATGTTCAATGCAGAAAAAACTAACAACTCATCTTTTCAAGTCTCACCTTAATGTCCTATGCAAACAGCATTTTACCTACTTAAAAATAACAAAGGGACAGGTTAGTTCTAAATTCTTAGGTTAAGCTACTCCTCCATAGTTTCAGTCTTTCCAAACTTAATGCAACTGTGCCTCAATCTTTAATCTCAATTTCCTTCTACTTCCACAAGTTTTCTCGTAACAAGTCTAAGATGATGAAGACTGAATTCAAACTTCATCAGTCAAACGCTGCCTAGTGCCTGCAGTGTTTCAGTTAACAAAAAACAGCAGTCTGAAATATACTGTCTCACACTGTTGGCTCATCCTGCGTTACACACCGATCACTGTTTAGGCCCGCAATGGAACCTGAATTCACTGGAGAATATTGACATGCCTTATGTGTACGCAACCATGATCTTCAGACACCTGAGGGGAAACTAAATACGCTGCTACATAAAAACATGCATTTCTACTTCTATACATAACTGCATATAGCTGACGCGTTCCAATTTGATTTCTCCTCATGCTGGTCACCTTATGTATCACAGTAACTTAACACCTGGTGCTACAACACCAGTACATTTACAGAGGTATCATCACTATCTCAGCTAATGTGATGTTGATTAGGCTGCTTCCCACTAGTGCACTGGTTTTCCAGCAAAACTTCCCCTTACAGCCACGAAGCCATAATATTTATATGCTCATTAGTGGAACCAAACACGTGTGCACCACACACAGTAATTTAATTCCACTCAGCGGTGCATCATATGTTATTCCAACAACTCAGGATTATTCCAAGGAATATATTTCCCAAAACATTATCCTAGAAATGAAATTGGAAGGTAAAACAGAAGTTTTGTCTAACCAACACTGGTTGAAGGACCAGCAAGGAACATTGCTCATACTTACACAGCATCTATGTTCTTACCTCATCTATGACTACCAGTAATTGCCCCTCAGGCTTTCTTACTGGCAAAAACTCTCTTCCTTTTTGGCTAGTCTCAGATGTACAGCGCTGCAGACATTTCACTCTACTTGCTACATGGTGCACCTTTCCAGTCCACAGACATTTTAATGCAGGAATTTTTTTGTTTGGAAGCACAGACAAACCTCTTAAAGGAGCTTTTCATCCTGACGAGAAGATGCCCATATCTTAGATCAGGAAACTTTTATAACACCAAATGCTATTTCTAACACCATATGAAATTATTCACCAGACTTCTGCTCTCTTGCACAACCACCATTTGCTATTCCGAAAAGGTTCTGAATCCCACTAAAATCTGTATCATTCTAGGTGTTAAGATCTCCTAAGAAAACAGAAGTTACTTTTGCATTTTGCCTGTTTCCTGTTTGTTCTTCAGTGAACTTAAACCTACACACAACCGTGCGTTTGCCTCTTCAGCAAGCATCCAACCGTAGCCTACGCATAACTACCTACCCACCTACACGAGAGAAAACCTGGCACACCATTCAGAAATTTGGGATGCACATATTCAATGCACACAATGCAGGCAGGCGTCTGATACAGGCAGGCAAAGCTAGACTTCTGCTTATAAACTTTTTTTTTTTTTTTTCCGGAAAAAAAAAGGCACTTCGTTAAATATAGGTCACTGGTGCGTGAGCCTGGCAGCCGCACTGCTGCTCTGCCTTCCCGTGAAAGTTGCCCGCCCTGCACTGGGCGCGCACCTCGGCCGGGCATCTCCGCCAGGCTCCCCCCAACCCCCGGAGCCGGGCAGGACCCCCGTTCCCGGGCTGCTCCCGAGCTGCGACACCAGCCCTGCGCCGAGCCGAGCCGAGCCGAGCGGCCAGACGGAGCTCCACTGTGCACTTCGGAGCAGCCGGAGAGGACGTGCCGCGCACTCCGTGTTCCCCAGCGCCCTGCCGGCCGCCGCGGCTCCGCAGCCCCGCTCGCCTCCGCCTCTCCTGCGGAGCGCCGGGGGTCTCCCCTCCGGGCGGCCGCTCCGGCTGCTCCCCGGGCCAGGCGGAGCAGGACGGCGGCAGCGGGGCTCCCCGGCTGCCCCCCGGCTCCCGGGGGTACCTGTCAGCGCTGCCCCTCGCCCCGGCCGGCGCCCCCACCTGCCCCTCCGGTGCCGCGGGGGACGCGCTCAGCCCGGCCCCGGCAGCGGCTCGGGGGGGCCGGGGCTGCCCCCCTTCCCCGCGGCACGGAGGGTGGCCGAGCGCCGCCGGAGCCCCCCGGCAGCCGCCGCCTCGTCCCTCGCCCGCTCCCAGACCTCCAACTCGGGCCTCCCCGCACTTTCTCCGGCACTTTCCGCCGCGGCGCCCCCGCCCGCCCCCGTCCCCGCCGCGGCGGGCGGCACTCACCTCCCGCCGGCCCCCGCCGCTCGCCCCCGCGACGCGCTGGCCTCCTCCGGAGCGCCTCGCCGCCTCCCCCTGCCTGTCTCCGGCAGCCTCTCTCCCTGCGCTGAGGCTGTGCCTGCCTCCAACTCATCCCCAGCCTCTCCTCCTCCTCCTCCTCCCCCCGCCCTGCCCGCCCCGCTGGCTGCCGCCTGTCTGCAGCGAGTCTGGCTCCGGCGGGCGGGCGGGCGCGGGGGCCGCCGGCGGGGGGGCGGCAGGCAGCGGGGGAGGGGAGGCGGCGCTCCCGCCCGGCCCCGCAGCCCACACTGACACCTGCCGGGCGGATGTGCTGCGGCTCCGGCTCCGGTACCCGCACCCGACGGCGACCGAGGGCCGCGCGAAATTCCGGCGGGGACTCTCCTTCGAGGAGAGAAACCGAATGAGCTTCAACAAGGGCAAGCGTAGGGTACTGCACCGGGGCAGGAATAACCCCAGGTGCCAGCACGGGGTGGGGGCTGACCTACTAGAGAGCAGCTATGCAGAGAAGGATCTGGGAGTCTTTCTTAGTGGATGACAAGTTGACCCTGAGCCGGCAGTGGGCCCTTGTGGGGAGGAGGCCCAATGGTATCCTGGGTGCGTTAGGAATAGTGTGTCCAACAGGTCGAGGTGGGTGATCCCCCCCCACCTACTCGGCCCTAGTGAGGCCACGTCTGCAGTACTGTGTGCAGTCCTGGGCAAGAAAGACAAGGAGCTACTGGAGAGGGTCCAGCAGAGGGCCACAAAGATGATGAGGGGTCTGGAGCTTCTCTCTCATGAGGAAAGACTGAAAAAGCTGGGCCTGTTTAGTTCAGAGAAGCGAAGACTGAGAGGGGATCTTATTAAGGTATATAAAAATACCTCAAAGGCAGGTGCCAAAGAGGATGGTGCCAGACTCTTTTTGGTCATGCCCAGTGACAGGATGACGAACAATGGCCATAAACTAAAACACAGATAGTTCCACCTCAACACGAGGAAGAACTTCTTTACGTGGAGGGCAGCAGAGCACTGGAACAGGCTGCCCAGGGAGGTCATGGAGTCTCCCTCTCTGGAGTCACTGAAAACCCACCTGGAGGTGACCTTGCCTTGTCAGGGGGGTTGGACCAGATGATCTCCAGAGGTCCCTTTCAACCCTAACGATTCTGTGAATGTGATTCTGTGCGCTGCTGGCGTTGCTCCAGGAACAGCACCGCTCCTGCCACGCTGGCTCCCAGCCAGGCACTGGGCATGCAGAGAGGGCAGAGGCCATAGGGAACTCCCGGCAAGGGGGCAGCCCCCAGTCCGCCCATGCCCCCAGTCCCCACAGGGCAGCCCCCACCACGCACCCACGCACCCACTAGGCAGTCCCTGCCTCCGCACCTCTGTAAAGGTCAGGACCGGCGCAGGGTGGGGGGAGCAAAAAGAGTACACTTTGTCCCGTGCAGAATGAGAAATTTTTTGACATTTCAAAAAATGTTGCAAGACAGGAAAACCCAGTTCATGTCACAGCCCAGCAGGCACGAACCCAAGGCAGCTTCTGCCCTGCCTGTGTTCACTTGCAGGCACTGTCCATCTCAGACTCTGTAATGCAATCCTGCATAGAGCCATCAAGTGTTCCCTAGCCCTTGCCCGTCCGCTCTTCTTGTTAATATCCTTTGGGATGCAGGGCTGTGGTATGGATCATCCAGTAAAAAGGCCACCTTAATCTCAGCTATGCCAAGCCACTTGGGAACAAGTAAAACAACCAAAGTTGAGATTACATGCAGGAATATTTAGACATAGAATTCTCACAGAAAAAAAAATCCCTATTTCTGGGAGCACTGGAACAGCTTAACAGATTGCCTAGAGAGGTTGTGGAGTCTCCCTCACTGGAGATGCTCAGGAACCACCTGGACACAATCCTCTGCAATGTGCTCTGGGATGACACTGCTTGAGTAGGGAGATTGGGCGGGATGACCCACTGTGGTCCCATCCTGACCCATTCTGTGACTTCTCTTGATTTAGACCATCAGCCTCAGTCCACATTCCCATCCGTGATGCACTCCAAAGACTTTTCCCAGTTATACCCAGGACTCTAAGAATGAAGAGGAGAAATATCAGGACCTAGGCAACATGAAGAACTATAAAGGTTGCTAACTTTGGCCACGTGCAGGTTTGACTCAAATGAGCTTGTTTCCCTTCTTGCCTCACATCTCCCTAGCTGCAAGTTGGAAGGAAGATGTAAGTGCTTGAAGGAGCCAGGAATCCGCCAACCCAGAATTCAGAGCACCAACCTATGAAGATCATGGTGGTGACGGCCTGCGGTTCATGCTGCCAGTCACCATATGTGACTGGAAATGGGGAACTACCAGAGTAGTTCCAAAACAGAGAAACAGTCAGATCAGCAGTGAAAGACAAATTTAGCAAACATACCTTGGATTAAGACACAAGGAGCCAAAGGAACATCAAAACACTACAGAAAGGAGGAGCTTCCCATAATATGGATAATATATTGGAGCTGTTTGTCCTGGAGGTTACCAAAATCATCAAAAGGTCACAGAGTTAATCCATATCTTGGTATTGATAACATTTATTTATAGTCTGGCAAATTGGGAGAACCTTGATTTCAAATTTGCTCTGTAGTAACCCACCAAGAGTCAAGTGCTCCATTTCCAAGAGTGCCCTGGCAATCTGTATATGCTTCACAACGAAGGGGTCTGACACGTTTCAGCTGTGTTCCCTTCAATGACTTCTCTAGGAAGACCAGAATTCGTTCACTTCTGCCAAGAGAGTCTTGCCGTTTGCAGAGGAATATCCTAGCCCATGGAAAACTTTGTAAAGCATAACAAAATCACCTACTAAGTAACAAATTATTTCTATACAATACCTCTTGAGTGAAAAAAATTGCCTGGCAGCAATTTGGGATATTTTGGGCACGTAGGAGGAGGACAGCAAAAACAAGAGAAAATGCATAGACTCATGCACATGCTCAGAAAGCACCATGCACGGATCCACGTCTGGAAAAGGAAATGCCAAGAACACTATACTGCTGGTACTGTTGTTCCTATCCAAGGTATCGCTGTAAGAGACAATTTGCAACCTAATATACTGGCCCCTGCCAGGGGGCAACAGTTCCTCAGATATACAAATTTCCTTACCTTTCAATCACCAAAATTACCATTAAAGATTCTGTTCCCTGTCTTGCTCCACTTAGAAGTGTCTGAAGAATGTCAGTATTTCTGAAACTTAGAGAGACAGTTAAAGAGGAGTGTTAACATTTTTTCCCTGACAAAATTATAAATCATGGGAGATCCTGGAGTTGTGTAGAGGTTTCAATCTAAAAAGAATCCCAGGAGAGTTTGGTTATATGAAGAAACTTACCTTAAAACAAAACAAACAAACAAAATCCCCCCACAAAAACATCCCTTCAGTGAAAGCCATACTGGCAGTATCCATGAGGTTGCACAGGCATCCTGACAGCTCATTTCCTGGATAAACAAGTTCTTACAGTTGATTTAAGGTGTAGGCAGATCTGTGTATGATTTACATTCTTCATCTTCCTCTCTAAACACAGCAATGATATAGTTAATATTTGGACTGTTGTGGGATTTCTTAGGGTTTTTTTACTACTTTATCATTAATCTGATAGTAAAAGTGACTTCAATGTTACTGGTGGACACCAAGGTGCTGCGTTCCTAGGGGTGGAGTTTAACAACAGGAGCACCACTCAGCCCTGCCATGTCCAGAACCCCAATGCAAGAACCAAAGAAGCCTGGCAGACAGGTTCTCTGCTGACTATAATAAATACTTGGCCCAAGCATGCTATTAGATCTGGTAGGAGATACACAGGCTGGTGAAGCACTTGGTCTGAGCGTCCATACCCATCCCTGGTGAGCCCCTTGTCTGGGCTTGTTACATATGCTGTAACTGCTATCCCTTCTTCCTTCCCAGTCTGGCAGTCTGCAAGGCATGCCACCCCGCCAAGGAGGAAGTCAGTGGGAAAAGCAAGTATTTGAACAATTAGACTGAGAAGAACAAATTTGAATCCAGGGACATAATGGCTGTTGGTTTTAGTTACTGGTGACTCATCTTGTTTCCCACCAGGAAGCCACAGATCAGTGTATTTCAAGTATTGCTGATTCCTATTATCTGTTACACAGAGAGAACAAGGAGGAAGAAATTAAAAACACTCAAACCGCAGTAAGAACACAGACAAATAACATATGGGCACATGTAATAAACCAGTCTTGCTAAACTACACATAAAAGCATGCTAAAATAAAACACCTAAAACTAGTCAGAAGAGTATTCAGTAGGGTTTTTACCCTACAGGTCATCCAGATTCAGCTCATAGTCGTCCACCATGAGCACTGCAGTGCAGATAAGCACTGCTCATAATTCTAACTTGGTGCTGTTTTGTGAAATTAAAAAAAAAAAAAACAAACCAACAAACCACCACACACCTCCAGGGGGGGGCCTTGGTTTTGGTGGTTTAGTGGGTTTTTGTTATTGTTGGTTTTTTATCACAGCAGAATCTAGTGAGGGAAGCATCACAACGGAAAAAAATATGACAATTCTCTCTTCTAGAAGCCAGGATGTTACATTCTTTCTCTTGGATGATTCCCAAGAAGGTCATTCCTTTCAAGGGCTTCCACTCTCCTTCCTGATTAGACTAACTAGAGTACACCAGGGAAGAAAATTTCTATATTAAGCAATTTATGGAACTAATGGTAAGCAATCAAATCTCCTCAAAACTTTAAAAATCAGTAACATACAAAAAACATCTCACAAGCTTGGCATTACATTTTTGGCCATTTTGAAATGGTCTGTCAAGTATTTTAGGAAAAGATGCTGAAATTTTCTGAATTGCTTCAAAACCTTAATGCATATTCTAGTGTTTTGGTGGTAGAGGGATGGAGGCCTCGATCTGCACTGGGCTTCAGAGAGGTGCAAGGCCTTGACATGCACCTCAGTGCCCCAGCAGATGTGTGCAGATGGACTTCCTTGTAGGGCCTCTTGATTAGAGATAGGGTTCCAGGACCCAGACTGTATCTCCAACACGTCACAGTGGTGTGAAATGGTGTCACTCCGTCAGTGACCACACCGTCCACTTCATACACCTTGTTAATTAGGTGGTAGGTATTTAAGCAATGACAGGAGGAAAAAGTATGCATGTAAGGAAGGAAGGAAGGCAGCATAAGAAAGATTACTTAACATATTTTGCTATTGTAAAAAATCCTCTGTCTGTTCTAGTCATTCACTGAAATTAGACTCCAGTTAGTTTGTTGTTCATGGGTGCACACACATACAGTCTGCAACGTGTTGTTATCTGCCAATTCAACCCACACACCTGCAGACCCCGTCCCTAGATGTCAGTCTCAGTTTTAGATAATCCCACATATCTTATGAGATGTTTTGGTTTTCTTGTCATGATGGACATAACTAAAGAAGGTTTTCATGCTAAATAAAATGCAATGTCAGTCTGTGAACTTAGTGAGTGCTATGAATATCTGGATTGCATCCTCAGGTTTCAACACCAGCGTAATGTCACAGAGCATGCATTTCTCTGTTCTTGACAGTAAAAAGCCTTGGAAAGGACATTGTTACACAATACTACAGAGACAGCAATCAGCCAAGTCCAGACTGGAACTATAGTAAATACTTACTGTACTGCACACGACAAGTAATCTAAGAGTGTGGAAGGGGCACAGCAGAATTCTCAGTTGGACAAACATTCTGTATTTCTCGTTGAAATTTTAAAGACTTCACTGTCAGTCACAATGACATTTCTTGACGTACATTCACCACTGCACAGGTGAATTTGGAGTTTTTAAAAAACAGCGGGTAAGTGATGCACCCCCAAGACTCTCCAAACTACAATGGCAGCAACATCACCCCTCTTTTTCCTAAAAGAAGGTCTAAAGCCAAAAAAAAAACTTCACTACAAGTAAGCACAGATCAGGTTGCCAGGTCTTACCTTTAGCGTCTGACAAATCAGCCAAGTGATGTGAAAACCCTCTGCAAGGAACCAAGCAAAATGGACTGGAATCAGATCGAATCTTATAAGCTAATAAATACCATGTACATTACCATAATAAAGAGAGAAATTACACTCCGTGGTAAGAAGGGCTGGATATATAATAAGACAACATCTTATTATATAGAATCAATAATGTATGTAGCAGTTAGACAACATATGATCATCAGATAAGAAACAAATTCTTGTTTTAACCTGCCTGTTCTACAGGATGTACTCTGTTGTCATCAATTTACAAACAACTTACAAATAGGTAAAATAAAGTCTTCCTTATGTGAAAGATACAAGATTTTTGTTTAGAATACAATTTCCCAAATATATTTTCAATTGTTTTCCCAAGTCTAAGACTAATTTGTGTTGGAGTATTTCCATGATATAGATACAGAATCTAAGTCACAAAAGAAATCCAATTTGCCTTAAGAATGTACTATGAGAACAGGCATAATTGGGAACTCATCCAAATTCTCCTGGTTTACTCTACAGCATTCTATCTACTGGACCACAAAGAAGCTATTCGCTGCTTCTTATTCTACAGTTTTTTATTTAATGTACTACCAAACACCCCTTTTCTCCAAAAACACATCCAGAATTATTTTCTTAGCTACCAGTCATACTGTACATCATTATGTTAGTTATGAGGGGAGCAATTAGCTCGCCAAGCATTTTTAAATTAAAGAATTGACAAATATTGTTGGACAGGATCCTCTTTTCAGGTCCACATCAGAAATCCCACTGACTTCAGTAGAACCACAATCAGACTCATTATTGTACACATGCAGAGAAAACCCACAGAAGAAATATTTAATGAAAAGAATGTGGTGCCCATCTAGTACATCAAATGAAGCTATGATGCAAGAACTCCAAAACTTTGGACAGTCTTACATGAAAAGAGGGAAGTCATATGAGAAGGATGTATAATAGAACTGATAACCAAAAAAAGCATCATCATCTTATGGTTAGCTGTAATAGTAAAAGCAGTACTGCAACCTATAACCTTTTGGGTTTATGTTCACTAATATAATTTCTATTCAGCTGCCCATATTCCTAGTTTTCAAATCCTTCCCAATAACTTGACACATCCACATGTGTTTAAAAGCCACTCTAGTCGTCTTCTTCAGGGCTTCTCAGAATATTTCTGGTTTTCTATTTAAGCACTTAAAGAAATCCCTAATTTTTTGTGATAAGGACCATCTTCACTGTTTCCCTGGTACAGCACAGAGGCACCTGGTCAATGCTTAAACTTTAAAATATGGCTGTCTTCATTTTAAGTACCCTACACTGCAATAAACTTCTTTTAGTTCTGCCCTTCAGCTCTCCCCAAGGATAAAGCTGCAGAGCTCGGAGAAGTTCCCAGTGTCCACTTACTGTAACTCCTCCTTTTCTCTCTTTCTTCTTTTTTTTCCCCCCTCTGCTTTTGGACTTTTTTTACATCAAAGTCTTTGCATTAATGCAGCATTGAAAAACCCGAAGGCCTTACCATCACAGAAGACAATTAAAATTAAAGCAAATCGTTTGGACTAATAACACTATTCAAATTGCATATACTGTCATACAGTATAGTAGCTGAGTGGTTTTCATGCCTAAGAAGCAACTCTACATCACCTTCAGGCACTCCAGGCTAACACTGACCACTGAATCCAATATCCATATTGTCCGGAACAAGAACAAGTGGAACCTGCTGCTGACCGTATGCCTGTTTTGCTTCATCTGCTGCTCTGAGCAAATGCATTTTTTCATGTCTGGAAAGAATGTTTTTACAACTACTTACAGAAATATTGCAAATAAGACTGTTACATTATTCCCTTCTAGCTTACTCCTCCCAAAGGGATTTTAGGAACTGCCTCTTTGCTCTTTATTGTTCAGTGAAACCCAGTGACTTTTTTTTATACTCCCCACTGCTTTTGCATGTCACCTATAATATATTTTTAATATTGAAAATCTGCATAGCATGCAGTTGTTTAATGCCCTGCATTAAAGCCTCTCAGAGCATTTTGTTGTCACTAATCAGTTCAATCTCACCAACCCAGGCATACACATACATTATTCCTATTCTGTAGACAAGGAAACACCTACAGAGAAGGCTAAATGGCAGAATTCATTCCTGCATTCAAACTTCAACCACTAGACCATGAACAACTTGCAAAAAGACAAACTATTCTCTAATGCTCAGATATCTGTATGACTGCATTAACAGGAATTCCTCCAATAACTTGCTGTGTCTTCTCTCAGATACTTCCTTGGCCACTCATTTATTAGCAGGCTACCCACAGATGTTAACATACCATATAAACACCAAGAACAGAGGCCAATAGAAAAAAAAAAGTCATTAAAAAGGTTCTTCCCCAGTTATTTTAGCCTCATATAACAAGTTGCAAAAGTGCAAAGTACATAAAAACTATATATTTTTACGTTTTTCCCTTAACACACTGATAACTCCTTTGGCTGGCATCTTCAGCACTCTTCACTCTTCACACTGAACCACTTTAAACAAGACACTACTAGAAAACGGGGGAAAATAAATTTCTACATCTCAAAATTTAACTTTAAAGCTCGATTTCATTTTAACTTCAAAGCATGTTTAAGTACTGAGATGTGCCCTGTCATGTTGTAAAAATGATAACCCCCATTCAGAAGTTTAACATAATGAGATGTACAAAAACCACCTATGTATTTCTCACTCAAATCTAAGGAGTGGAAAGTACTATGTTCAAGAACAGTCTTCTGCAACTGATTAGCAAACTTTCACAAGCAAAAATGGAAGTAGTTTTCCTAGGTCAGGAAACTATTTACACAATAGGTAGTGGTGCCATATACTAAAGGTTTGGAGTTTTTTTAAATGTTAAGTGAAATGACAGATTGCAATCATAGCATTGAAAAACTCCTGTTGAAGAGTAATGCAACTTTGGAAGTTCTGATATAACACCAACATCTGCAGAAATATGAGTCAATGTACACTGTGACATTGACCTCTATTTTTGTTTATTTCCTATTATTACATGTTACCATTTCTAGAGTAGTTTTCGTTTTGTTGCATAGAATGGAGACTGTTCAAAGGATGAATCACCAATACATATGGAAAGAAATTCCCCTTGGTAGAAACTGCGCCCCACTTGTGGAGATTAACATCTTTCTGTTGTTAAGTATCATATTCACTATGTCACAGTCCAGCAGTAAGAATTCATGATCAAATTGTCACACGTCGAGGAAGGATGTCAAATGTACTATAAGTCAGTTAATCTTCAGTTATTTTCTATAAAATGTATACTCTGCCCCAGCAATACATGCAAAAGAAGTTGGTCCTTAACCAAGAAAATGAATAGCTTGGAATTAGCTCATATTGACCCAACAATAACAATTGCAAGCAGGCAGTTAATGCAAAACAGCTGACTTGGAGTAATTTACTTAAAATAAGGAGTTAGAGACTGAGCAGGTTATTCGTGGCAACATTTTGATAAAATACAGCTACACCTGTAGCGTATGCTAAGGTGGGTTTTTTTTTCCAAAAAAAAGTTATATTTTTTCCAAAAATTCCATTTCTTCAAGCTCTGTCTTTCTGGCAAGGTGAAAATGCATGAAATGATGTCTTTGTTCTTCAAACTTGACACTTTTCACCATTGTGCATACATGGGCAACTAAACACCTGTTTGTGGTTTATTTGTAGCTACACCATTCACAGCCTTTTAGAACATAACTATCCCAAACTTCAAAACTGGACAACTCTAAGACAATAAAGCTTCTTCCTGCTCCCGGGTTTTAGAACTATCTGCTTCATGTCTATTTTTGTTTAATCTTTGCTTTTACAATCCTATTTATTTATTTCTCTGCTTATTTCATTTGTTACTCTGAAAGCATGAGAGATGACCAGCATCAAAACCTGAATTATACCCCATGCAGCAAGGCCACACAGAGACCTCAAAACCCCCCAGGGAAGCAGGCACAGTGTTATCTCCCTACAAATATCTGCCCTTCTGCTGGGGGCAAGGCAGCAGAGCACAGAAGATGTTGTTTTGTTCAGCCCCATTCCTGGCACCACCTTCCAACAGCAGCAGGGAAATTTTGGCAGGGAACATCAGCGCTTGGACCGTTCGAACAGTTGCGTAGGGAATGCAGCCAGAGGCTGCCCAGCTGCTGCTGGAAGAGGCTCCAAGTGACCCTCTCACCTACTGGGCCTCTCTGGCTTCACAGACCACTCGCCGATACAGTGAAGGTTGTAGCAATATCATGGAGACTTCTCACCATCCACAAGTCCTCCTATGAACTGGCATAGGCTCTACTTGGTAGCTAACTGCAATGATCCAGGCAAAGACTGGATGCTGAGTTCATTTAAAGAAGCCTCAGAATCACATCTCCTACCAGAAATAAAACCAAACGCACTTTCGAGTCAGTATAGCTGTGATTTGTCTGTTCTTCAAAGAGAATTACATGAGCATAGGAATTTATTTGTCAGTGGGCAGTCTCAGCTTGGTACTAGACATATGATTTTATATGAAATCCAGATGTCATTTAGAACAGTGTCAAAAGTCAGCTTAAAATTAGTATTCACCAAATGCCTTTTTGAAAGAAAAAATATGCTTTGCAGCTTAAAGAATGAATTGTAAAAATATCTCAGACTTGAGTATTTTTCTTAGCAATGTCATTGGGGTTTCTTGGGTACAAACAGATAAGCCTGAAGAACCGAGAATGAAAATACTTTCCATGCTTCTGTTTAGATATGGCTCATAACTTATAAGACTATGAGTCTCAGTAGTTCCCCCAGAGTACGGAACTGCCCACCACTGCACTTGGAATTACATGCACGCTATCTACTTACATGAGAAGTCTTGATACACTGGAAAAGACCAAGACAGGTTTTCTACATTTATTTAGCAAACAAATGAAATTACTTTCAACAGTCTTCAGTTCTCTTAGGCAATACCAGAAGTGCCTGCATGCTAGTCTGCTAGTCAGTGCAAGCAGGGAAAAAAGCCCAAAACATTTGTAATTTTTTTCCAAGACAGCCACCCCAAAGTTCTACCTACCACTCTACAGAGTGAGTTCACCTTCATGCCACGCTGTGCCTACCCAAATAGTAGCAGTCACCCACTTTCACTGAATAAAACGGGGCTTTATTTGTAAAGATGTAAATAAAGCTCTCTTTGTTCATGAAAGATCTCTATTCTTTTCAGCAGAAGGCATGATCTCATCATTCTAATATAATTGTCCCATTAATTGCATGAAAGAAACTTTGCATTGCCACAGCTGGGACAGATCACTCTAGCAGGTGAATCCAAAAGTCTAGAGGGATGCTTACAATTTACCTCACCAACAGGAAGAAGAATGTGTGTCATTTAGCTTTTCCCTAGGAATTAGAAAGAAAGCAAAATCAGCACGGGGCTAGGCTGACATCGAGATGCCATTCAAAGAGTATCCAGACCCAACAATGTCTCAGCCTCATAATAAGCCTTTTACAACCAGTTGTGCCTCAGCTGCATTGCAAAATTCCATCTCAGAAAGGGACTAAAGATATCTTTTAGTCAGGAACATTCCGTTGCACCTTCGGGAACACCCATTTACTTTAATAGTTGGTGTTGATATTTTCTGCTGCAGGGTCATCTTGTAAGTTCCGCACGGACATTCTTTCTGTAGCTCTTTTTTTCAGCTGCAGGCTTTTGACTAAAAACTGTTTAGATTTGTAAATTACAGCAAGGACAATTTCAGAAAAAAAAAGCTATTATTATAGTTTAGGGTTGCATTTTTTTTAGAAGAAAACATTGTGGTCATACAATAAATAAATCTGTTGTAATAGATAGTACAGTTCAATACAGTTTTTGAGCTAGTGACTTTCTTTGAAGTTGCTCTTCCTTCCAGAGTTCTAAAAGAAGAAGTGAATGAGAGACGATCAGATACAATAGCTGTATGAAAGAGAAATCCTTTGCTTCAGATGAACCCCAGGAAGCAGATAGTTTCAGCAACTTACCATTCGTTCTTGAATCTACAAGAGTACTTGAGTTGTTTCTAAAACAAACATCACGAGTCAGCTACAACAGAAACAGTGTCACCCTTCACTGCTTTGAGAGTTTCAATTTATCGAGATTGACAATCTACAGCAGCTTGACACTGAAATAGCACTACTCATCCAGATGCAAGGATGCTGCTAAACAGCCAGCATGTTTGTTCTTTAAGTCCCACTAAGAAGCCTGAAGTTCTTGTAAGAATACACAGTTCTTGGTGACTAAAGCCAGATTCAGTAATGTGGAGTTACAAGATTAGACCTGTGCCCTAAGCGCTATAGAAGGCAACACCAAGTAAAACACTATCTCCACCACAGGTCCTTCTACTTTTCGCAGCTGGATGTTGTGTTGCACATCAACACTAAGCCAGAACGGGTAAAGAGACTTTTCACCTTTCTTTCAGCTCATACTCTTGTGCCCTAGGATTGCAGTCCTACCCTTATACTCACATTACTTCCGCTTGTATTTCTTCTAAAATATTGAGTTTGCCTCTTTTGTTTCAGAGTTTGTGTGTCACACACCTTACTCTACACGTACAGTTGTTTTATCTGCTTTTTCTCACATGAACTCTTGGACTTTGGGACTGAGTACAAATTGTACAAAGGAAGATCCATTTGAGGGACCATATATCAGTCTGACCTGCTAGATCTTAGGCCTATCATACTGACACAGAAAATGGACTTCATCCTATGCCTGGATAAACAAGTAGGGCAAATCCTTGGCAAGGGGAACCATAAATTGCCAAAATACCATTAGGTATCAATATTTATAATGTTTCATATCCTGAGATGCATTAACTAGGATAAGCTCTGTGGAGTTCTTCCTCTGCAGAGATGAAGTACGGCCTCCCACACTAATAAGTCCTCAACTCATGCATCTAGCAGAACAAATGCTTTAGCAACTCCTACATTACCAAATTAACTTAAAAGCATCTTAGGACAACCTTCATGTTACCACTTCAGCATACATAAATTGGATTACTGAGAAAGCAGGTTTTCAAGAACTGCAGTGCACTCCGAGACATTAACAGACATCCCCCCCCCGAGTCTCTGCTGTTGCTCCTGCAGCAGCTGTTCCCCCTTTTGTTACAGTTTGGGGTAAGAGCATCTGGATTTCAGCCCAATTTTATCAAGTTCAGAAAAATGGCACCTGTAGGTGGGCTGGTCTTCAGTCAAGCTGACAAAGGCATCCTCATACTCAGCATCCCTGTTCCAAGCTGGCCTGCTTTCCACTCCAGCATGTCTCTCTGACTCGAACAGGCTCTAAATGCTGACACCCTGCTCTAAGTCACATGCCTATGGAAGGGAGCAGATCAGCAGCATGGGTGGCTCTTGGCTGTGGAAGTACCAGAAGCAGCTTTGCAGGGTGAGGGGTTGCCTACAAGACCCCCGCCCCTGCAGCAGATACGCTTGCTTCTACCCAAGTTTTGGAATAACTAATTTGTCTTAAGAAACTCCTCCAGCTCAGAAGAGGTTACAACCTCCAGCCACCTGTCATCACCCTTCTGCTTGAGATTATCTGCTGGAGGGGCTCTTATTACAAATGTTCCACAATCTGTTGCCTTCAAAGTGAACCAAGTTAACTTAAAAAAAAAAAAAATCTTTTTAACCTAACTCATTTTGGCAGACAAGTAAGAAAATGACAACATGCACAATGAACAAATCTGAGACGATGACAATCACCAGCTGAAAAGATGGTGACAAGCAGCTGAGGGGCAAGTTACCTCTTCAGCAGTCACAGCAAGATCCAGACAGTAACTCCTGCCCATGACTTCATTAAACTACAATTTTGTCTTCTAAATGGCAGTTTATTTTCTATACATTGCTAGAATCAAGAAAAATTATTATTCCTCATCTGTGTAGCTACAGTTAACATCTTCCACTTAATGCAACAGCAACACTCCTTCTGCACAAATGCTAGTGATTATTTCTTTTTTAATCCTGTATTGTAACAGCAGTTCTGGGAAGCCTCAGTTCTTCTGGGGAGAAGTCCTGTTTGATTTGGAGCTGGGGGGAATTTTTTTTAAATCCAACATCTTTTCTTGTTTACAGCAGTACCAAAAATCCTAACAGACTGGTTCCTGTAGGCCATACAGAGATGCCTGGAGCTACGGTAGTAATTCCTCTGAGGACTCTAGGGATGATCACAAGGGAAAGGGGTACACAGAAACTATAGAGACTAGGTAGGAAATAAGCAACATATGCAAGACACTTTGAAATAACTTCCTAACATACACAAGCTACCTAACACATATTGACTGACCCCAGGAAAAGCTATGCAGGTGTGAAGGGGCAGCAAGTAAGTTTTGGGAAATCACAAAATTCATCTGCATTAAATGGTTTATGCAATTGAACGGTGAGATTAAGCACCAACTGTTGTTCTAGGCATGCAAGTGCTTTGAAAATTTAATTCCATCATTTAATTTACTTGATTTCTAAAAACACCAAACCTCTTCAATTAGTATTCAACCACACGACAGGTTGCTAGTCTGTAATTCAGCATTATTTTCAGACACAGCTTTTAGGCTCATGGTTGTGTTTTCACAAATAAAAGCCAGGTAAGAATCTTTATCTCATGATCTTAGGTTATATTCACATCCTGTTCACACACATCTTGCTTTCTGTTTTCTCACAAGGACAATACAGCTCAGATACTTTTTACTACCACTTCTGTACTTCCAATTTATTCTTGTAATTCTTTAATTCTTGTAATATTTACTCCATTTTCAGCCACTGTCAAAATTCAAGTCCATCAAAATTCTCCTTTCTTCTTTTTGACTCTAGAGAAAAAGCAAGGGGTGGCTGGTGATGTGTAGGTTTAAAATTTAAACTAAAATCATTAAAAGTTAATGTTGTTAGTCCTTTTCCTCCATAATTTTTCATATCAGATATGCTACATTTACAAGACAGACTTTTTTTAATTGCCAGTAGAATCGACTACAAAAGAACAAAATTAGGTTTTTAACTGTATTGTAGAATTATACTGAGATGATCATGCATATATTGACATAATCTACACCTCAAAAGTTTCTACTTGCAATAAAACTGAGCTTGCACCATACCTGGGAAATGCCCCTCTGATCCTAATGCACAATTCCGGTTTACTCCATGGAAGAAACCATAAAGTACACAAGGTAAGCCCTCAAAAGGCATGGTTTTGTGAGAGATTCTTAAAAGTAACATCTGTTTAAATCATCAGAAAAAGAACTCAAACAGTTCACTAAAATTTGTTTTGTCAAGTCATCTCTAGATTCCACTGAATGAACCTTTCCTAACACTTTCTTTCCCTAACACTCAGCATTACAATTTAGAAAGCAAAGTGTGTTTGTTCAAGACAGGCTTAAGAACAGAACATGAGGTCCAAACGTTCTTGCATTTTAGGAATTCTACTCTACACTGTCTTTATTTACACTGGAAGAGCAAGAGAGAGAAAACTGTGAGGAGTTGTAGCAACATCAAAGTGAGGAGTACATTTTAATACGCTGCCTTTGCGCCCAGTGTTTCCCATAGAGAAAAATCAAGAAATCACTCCAATACCAAACACTGCAATGAAAATTTAAAAGAAATATTACTCAATACTAACATCTCCTAAGCCCTACAGTACAGACTGTCAGACAATCAACAGGGTGACACACCCTGATTTACCTGAAAGGTGAGTTAAATTAGGAGCCTTCATTGCTTTGGCATTCCCTTCCCTCTCTGTGGAGGTCCTGGTCTCCAAATATCGATAGGCAGCATCCACAGGAACAAATAAATTGAAGTTCTGAGCTGATTTTCACACAATTGCTGAAAACCTGTAAGATAAAGGTGAAGAACACCTGAAGAACAGATTATTGAGAAAGAAAAAAAAAAAACTGCAATATGAGGACACAAGATACTTCTTTCTGAATATAGAAACTCCACTTGCCTAGCTATCATCCTTTACTATGAACAAACTTTCAAAGACTATTTCTCTCTAGTACTCATGAGTCATTTTCTAACATCGCGTCTTTGGCAGCTTGAAGCATTTTGAAAGTGGAAAGCAAACAAAATTGCTTTTAATGCACTCATAAGAGGGTACTTCAGGTTTTTTAAAAGCCATTTTTTCTCTATCTTTTAGCTGCTAGGAGGCTTTAAATGGGACCCCTGTAGGTTTTTGTCTGTAAACCATACGAGAGCATAAAAGCTTGGAAAACTTGCAGAGATTCTGAAGCAGGTTCACACAGCTTCATTGAAACTGTGTGTGGTTTTGAAGCTCACCAGGGCTCTACTCACCAGGAGCCATTTAAAATTGCCAACTTAAAAAGTAGATTTAAAACTCATAAAGGATTATGATGAAAACCTAAGACTTATTTTGCAGGCTTCCAGTTTGAAAGAAAAAAAATACCATTCTGTAAATAGGGAGGAATGGGTTTTCATTCTCTAAAGGTTTTGGGGTATTGTTTCTTTGAAAACACATACAGTAGCCTGAAAAAGAGATCAGAGTAACCTCTGTAAACACAGCCTGAATTAACCTGCATCAAAGTGATTTACCTGTATCAAAAGAAGCAAACTGATCAATCCATTATACCAACACATGGTGGCTCAACTATCCTAAAAGCACCGGCAGGACTTTTACAATGGAAATGTGTCAAATCTTTCCCTGTCTTTCGAGGTGACTCTTCTCAACCTAGTTCAGTATCAATCAGAACAGCCAGCAAGAAAAGGAGGCTTGGAAAACTACTATAAATACCATGAGAAATGTGAAACTACTTTCATTTATACAAAGAATCGGTCAAATAAGATTTTCTAATACCATTATCTCGCTATCACCAATTTCTCATAATATATTGTATGGTTTATTAGAACTTGGTGCTGCAAAAGAAGATGGAAAAGTGCTGGTTTGAATGAAATTTTATCACAATAGAGTCTAATATCGCATTTTTTTGTACATATACAGTCATCATTGAAGGTTGTGAGAGTTCTGTGAGGAAATATCGTCAGACTGGATTTTTACTTCAGTCAACAGAGAAACTCTAGTAAGATAACAAGAAGTTAATGGACAGAAATTAAATTGGTTTTTTTGTTTTCTGATGGCAAGTGGTACAATGGATGGATGATGTTTGATACTGTTTAAACTTGTTGTGGGACTGATTTTACCACTAGTATTTGCTTTTAGCTTTTATACTCATGACTTATCATTTTTATACTCATTGTTAATAAAGAATACTCAGCAGTCCTGTTGATTTTAGATTAACCATTCAATATATATCAGCAGCTCTGCAATGCCAGGGAATCAATGATGCTGTTCACTGGAAATATAAAGAACATGGGCTTGGTCACAGAAGCTTAATTTTCCACAACCACAACCAGCCATGGAATAAATTCCTAACTCAGGAAGGTCTATGTAATGTCTCTTCTGTTGATACATAATACTCCAAAAGCTGTTGTGCCTAGCACCCTACTTGGCTAGGAATCCACTGGCCCACACCAAATGACCAAAACCTGTCATATGTGAGCCCTTGCGTAAGAGCAGGAGGGAGTAGAGATCAACAGCTTGCTAAGTCCTTACAGTCGCTGAGGTTTTAAAAAGCTTCCAGAGGTACTAAGGGAAATGTTCAAACCACGAAGAGGACACCAAAACATTTATGTTTGGAGGGGACAGGGGACCTGACCTCACACGTAGATACAGGAAGCAAGATAGTTTGACCAGGTCCTTAAAAGACTTCGTTGCCAAAGACAGCTCCAGCACACACACCTTGTGAAGACACTTGAGCTTCAGAAGAAGGTGGAGACGGAAACAAGGAGGGGGAATGGGAAGGGCAAAAGGAAGGGGAAGAAGGGGAAGGGAAGTTTCTTCCTGGATCTTAAGGGTAAGTAGCAATTCTGAAGCATGGCATTAATACAGCAGAAGTGTAATGTAAACAGACACTCAAGTAGCCTGTTAAAAAAAAAAAAAAAAAAAAAAAGGGAGAGAGAGGAGGGGGAGAAGTACTATTCAAGTACTACTCAAAGAGAGTAAAGTCTGGAAGAGCACAGCCCGTGGCTGGCATCTCAGTATTTCTTTTTCACCACGTAGACCAATTTGAAGAAAATCCCTGCAAAGAAGCTTTCATAAGATGGCATTTTTGTGAATCGGTATAGCACCAATATTCCTTTTGAGTTTTATAACTGTTCCTAGAACATTCTTGGCAATGAATTTAAACTTTTTGAAAGAGGTCGCATTTCACTGTAAATGGTTATCTGGTATTCACAACACAAAATAAGCATTTGAATATTTATTGTGAGCACATTGCATTTTAGGGAGAACACACAAAGATTCTTACCACAATTATCTTGTTCCAGCTTTAACATATTAGCTGTCACCTCTTTAATGGATCTTGTGAGAAAGGAAAGTTTCTTTCTTTAAGTCTCTTTTCCCCCTGAACGCAATTACCACCTCATTCAGAGCTCTTTGTGTCCACCTAATCTCTCTGATTATGTCTCTGACACCACCACAATACTACATGACTGACATACCTGACAGCTGTGACTAGTGACAGAGCACTCACAATGAAAACCAGCTCTATGCAGGATGAGTATTACCTACCGCCAGCCTTACAGAACAAACATGGAAGGAAGGTAAAAAGGGGTGGGGGCATTTCACGACTAGCCTAACCCCTACCGATTTCGCCTCCTTTTAGAGCCAAACAGCATTGACAAGCAGAGCCTCTTTGTACATACCTACCTAATGAACCAATTGTTGGGTGAACACAAAAGAACACCCATTAGTATTTTAATTTTTAATTTATAGAGTGGAAAATGCATGTTTGGAGACCTGACTTACAAGCGGGACTTGATGGACCATTTTGTCTCACTCCAGCCCTTTTATGCTTCTCCGGGTCATAACTCCCAGCTGGTGCTCAACTGTCAGATTTAGGCAGGTGGCTACAGATGAGAGTCTGTGAGGAAAGCTATACCTGAAAATGTCATTCCCAGACAAAAACTGCCCCTGGAATCAAGGACAAAGTATTTCAGAATACAGCATTTTGAGCCAGAAAGACGTGAATTAGTATTATGAATAACTGAGTAATACAATAGCAGTAATGAATACGCTAATCAGGAAAAATATTAAGAGTGCTTTACAAAGTGTCTTATATATAAAAATCGCATGGGTTTAAGTGCTATTTATACATTAAAAGCTTCATCTTGTCAGCATTGACTTTTATCTTTCCATTAAAAAAAAAAAACAGTGAGAATTTTGGGAATAGAGATAAAGCCGATTTTTCTAAATATGCTGATTATTCAGAACAAAAATTTATTTGCAACTCTGAGCTCTTGAGCAGCTCCAGAAATCACACATTCCTAGAATCAGAGAGACAGGGCAAAAATCAAAACAACATTTTCACGTTGGAAATGTCTACAGTCAAAACTTGCCACTCAAGCATCCAGTTTTCAGAGATAGTATTTACAGAAAATTACTCCAAGTGCTTTATATCCATCTGATTTTACATCTAAAACTGCTCATGTAAGAGTGTCCTCAGACAATCATACAGTAAAAATAAAGCATGCAGGATTGAAGGATATGCTTAGGAAAGCTTTGTGGTCAAACAGCATGTTATTGTAAGAAGAAATTTCATCTTCTGTCTTAACTTTCTTATGCTGTAAGTAAGATGGTTTTGCTCTTACTATAGATTCAGCACCATTGCATTAGGTTTGAAAAGTCATTCCTGTCTTCCCGATAAGATGCATATTCTTCATTTGCGCTATACAATGAAAAAAGTAAGGCACAAAGTTCTATTATCTATGTTTTTTGGGAAAAAAGGTAGAGAAGATAGCTGTGACTAAAAGTCAGCATACTCAATTACAGTGTCAGGGACAGCTGATCTTAACGTCAGCTGCCCACCTCCTCACTGGTTTCCAAGGACTTTTGTTCCCATAATGCCTTCTCTCGTTTCCAAAGATGCTGCAATATAGAAAATGGACATGTTTCACCTGCAGAAAATACATCACCTACTAACCTCATAGTGAACTTTGCTAGCCACATAGCCACCCACCTCCTCCACAAATCACAGGAGCAAGAATATACCAGTGTTTCACTTATCAGGCATTCCTACAACAGAAATACCCCAAAACATTTAGTATTCTAGTTCAAAAAGCCACCACTGCCCTCAGTAACTTACTTTATACACCAAAAAACACTCAGAAAATTTTCTTTACCATTTTAACCTTTTATATGATGAAAATAATCTTCTAGACAGCCAGGCCTTGATATGCACCTTTACTAGGTTTTCTGAACACTAATTAGTTTCAGATGCCAAGGCAACAATCTCCAAAACACACTGAAGCACGTGTACGGAATGTATTATAACTCCATTTGTAGTCAACGATGTGAAAACTTTACAAAGCTGTTGAATAATTATGATTACTAATATCCTAATTAGGTTGAGCAGGTACAAAGACATCCTCAGCGCTACACACTAAGAGAATTTTTAAAAATAATTTATCTCTTAATTTTCTCTCTGACTGGTGTTAAAAACAAGTAAGATGAGTGTAATTAAAAAGACATCATTTCAGGTTTGTTTGGGATTTTTTAAAGTTTGCTGCTTGGGAAGTTTGAGTCAGTCTTGCCAGTCTGAGACAAGAGATTGCACCCAACAACACAAGAAAATTGAAAAATGTATCAAAACTGAAAAAGAGCAAAATTAGAGAGAAGAATTATACCTAAAACTAATTCTGCTTATTTTATCAAAAGTATTATGGTTTAAACTCTTAATCAAATCTGCAGTCTTGTAAAACTGGTCAGAATTGTTCTACTTTTCTGTATCCCTAAAAGATGTAGAGACA